CCTTTCTCCTGGCTGTTGCTTACTACATCTGCCTGCCACCTCAGGAGAAGAAAGAGGAAATCCTGCTGCTACTCTCCCCCTCCCAAGCCAGCTAAGAGGAGGAAGGAGACTGAGGAAGAGACTTTTAAAACACCTTTCTCCTGGCTGTTGCTTACTACATCTGCCTGCCACCTCAGGAGAAGAAAGAGGAACTCCTGCTGCTACTCTCCCCCTCCCAAGCCACCTAAGAGGAGGAAGAGGACTGAGGAAGAGACTTTTAAAACACCTTTCTCCTGGCTGTTGCTTACTACATCTGCCTGCCACCTCAGGAGAAGAAAGAGGAAATCCTGCTGCTACTCTCCCCCTCCCAAGCCACCTAAGAGGAGGAAGAGGACTGAGGAAGAGACTTTTAAAACACCTTTCTCCTGGCTGTTGCTTACTACATCTGCCTGCCACCTCAGGAGAAGAAAGAGGAACTCCTGCTGCTACTCTCCCCCTCCCAAGCCACCTAAGAGGAGGAAGAGGACTGAGGAAGAGACTTTAAAAACACCTTTCTCCTGGCTGTTGCTTACTACATCTGCCTGCCACCTCAGGAGAAGAAAGAGGAAATCCTGCTGCTACTCTCCCCCTCCCAAGCCAGCTAAGAGGAGGAAGGAGACTGAGGAAGAGACTTTTAAAACACCTTTCTCCTGGCTGTTGCTTACTACATCTGCCTGCCACCTCAGGAGAAGAAAGAGGAACTCCTGCTGCTACTCTCCCCCTCCCAAGCCACCTAAGAGGAGGAAGAGGACTGAGGAAGAGACTTTTAAAACACCTTTCTCCTGGCTGTTGCTTACTACATCTGCCTGCCACCTCAGGAGAAGAAAGAGGAAATCCTGCTGCTACTCTCCCCCTCCCAAGCCACCTAAGAGGAGGAAGAGGACTGAGGAAGAGACTTTTAAAACACCTTTCTCCTGGCTGTTGCTTACTACATCTGCCTGCCACCTCAGGAGAAGAAAGAGGAACTCCTGCTGCTACTCTCCCCCTCCCAAGCCACCTAAGAGGAGGAAGAGGACTGAGGAAGAGACTTTTAAAACACCTTTCTCCTGGCTGTTGCTTACTACATCTGCCTGCCACCTCAGGAGAAGAAAGAGGAACTCCTGCTGCTACTCTCCCCCTCCCAAGCCACCTAAGAGGAGGAAGAGGACTGAGGAAGAGACTTTTAAAACACCTTTCTCCTGGCTGTTGCTTACTACATCTGCCTGCCACCTCAGGAGAAGAAAGAGGAAATCCTGCTGCTACTCTCCCCCTCCCAAGCCAGCTAAGAGGAGGAAGGGGACTGAGGAAGAGACTTTAAAAACACCTTTCTCCTGGCTGTTGCTTACTACATCTGCCTGCCAACTCAGGAGGAGAAGGAGGAACTCCTGCTGCTACTCTCCCCCTCCCAAGCCACCTAAGAGGAGGAAGAGGACTGAGGAAGAGACTTTAAAAGCACCTGTCTCCTGCCTGTTGCTTATTATTTCTGTTTTGGTTTTATAGTGTATTTAATGTTTTTATGTGCATTTTGATATTATGTATATTACTTGTTGCCTGTAAACTGCCTTGAGTCGCCGAAAGGCTGAGAAAGGTGGTATACAAATACAGTAAATAAATAAATAAAAAAAAATTATTATATTTATTGTGATAAGGCACATTATTATTAGTAGCATATTGATATCCATACATCACAGCATTATTACAGTATAATATAATTTATTACTATAATACTATAATCTATATAAATAAAAATGTAATGTTCGTTTGTGGGATTAACAGAACTCAGAAACCACTGGGTGAATTGCGGCCAAATTTGGACACAACACTCCAACCAAAGCAACTTGTGTCCTTCATGCAAAAAAAAAAAAATCATAATAATTAACCGGAAAGAACTCACCCCCCCCCCCCCAAAGCTAAATACCTACACAGAGCATGCGTTAAAAGAACACCCTCCCCTCGCTCCTGCAGGAGGGGAAAAAAAACACCCAACAGCTGAGAGAGTGAAAAGTGGCCGGTCTATCCCTCTGGCTACCCCCTGCCTCTCTCTTCCCAAAGGATTCAGAGAGATAGAGGGAGGGAAGGAGGGACAAAGAGAGAGAGAGAGAGAGAGAGAGAGAGGACCCTCTCCTCCAGATCTCCCTCCTTTCCTTTCCTTTCCTTTCCTTCTTGCTTGTTGGAAGCATGGGGCTGCCTCCGCTGGGAACTCACACGGGAGGGATTCTGTGTGCGTGCGTGTGCCCAGAAAGCTCACCCATACTGAGTTATGGGAAGGAATTCTGGGAAATGAAGTCCAGTATTCAAAGAAAGGACAAAAACACACGCTCTGTGAGCTTAGAAAAGCTGTCCGGGAAGGCACAATCAAAACACTCCCAAAAGATGGCCATCCATTTTTACTTTATAGCAACCCAGGGCTATAATATATCAACAGTAATAATATCTATCATAATAATATCTATCAATCTATAATAATATATATATCTAGGATATCTGTATGTCTATAACAATACCTACTAGGTTCTTGTGGGTTTTTTCGGGCTATATGGCCATGTTCTAGAGGCATTTCTCCTGACGTTTTGCCTGCATCTATGGCAAGCATCCTCAGAGGTAGTGAGTATTTTCATCAGAAAATACTGTAATGCAGGCGAAACGTCAGGAGAAATGCCTCTAGAACATGGCCATATAGCCCGAAAAAAACCCACAAGAACCTAGTGATTCCAGCCATGAAAGCCTTCGACAATACAATAATATCTACATTTCTATCATAATATCTGTATGTTTGTAATAATGTCTAAATGCCTATAATAATATCCATATGTCTATGGAGATGGTGCCTGGTTTGTTTAATTTGAAAAACTGCAGACCTTTCCTTAAAACAGTTTCAAGACAATATTTATTTATTGTTCAAACGTATATGCCGCCACTCTCCTGGGGCTCGGAGCGGCTTACAAGAATGGCTAAAATCTAACACAATTTAAAACAATTTAAAACAGCAATGTCAAAAATCCAAGGCCTGTCGAAACAGATATGTCTTACATGCCCTGCGGAAAGCTGATAAGTCCCGCAAGGCACGGACTTCAGGTGGCAGAGTATTCCAGAGTGATGGTGCCACTGCTGTGAAGGCTCTGCGTCTGGTTGCTGTTAGACGCAAGGTCTTGACACTGGGGACTTCCAATAGATCTTGAGGGATCTCTGGGGTTGGTAGGGGTGAGGCGGTCCCTCAGGTACATCGGCCCCAGACCATGCAAGGCCTTAAAGGTGAGTACCATCACTTTGAAAGTGATCCGGTGCTCAATTGGTAACCAATGCAGCTGCAGTAAGATTGGGGTTATGTGGCATCTCATCGGAATTCCCGCAAGAAGCCGAGCAGCTGCATTTTGTACCAACTTGAGCTTCCGGATCACCGACAGAGGAAGGCCAATGTAGAGGGCGTTACAGTAGTCCAGTCTTGAGATGACCGTGGCCTGGATCACCGTAGCTAGGTCATCCCTGGACAGGTAGGGGCCAGCCGTCTAGCCTGCCGCAGATGGAAAAAGGCGGTTCTGCTCACGGCGGAGACCTGGGCCTCCATCGTCAGCAGAGGGTCCAAAAGGACTCCCAGACTCTTTACCAATGATGACGGGCATAGCGCCTCGCCATCCAGGGTAGGCAGCTGGATGTCCCCACTGCCCGGTCGACCCAGCCATAGGATCTCCATCTTTGCTGAATTCACCCTCAACCTGCTGGCACGCAGCCATCCAGTCACGGCCTCGAGGCACTGATGGAAACAATCGGGTACAGAGTCCGGTCGGCCTTCCATCTTCAGCACCAGCTGAGTGTCATCGGCGTACTGATAACACTCACGCCCAAAACCTCGAACCAGCTGAGCAAGAGGTCACATATAGATGTTAAACAACAGAGAGGAGAGAATGGCCTCCTGAGGAACCCCACAAGAGAGAGAGGACCTCTCGGAGACCAGACCTCCACTCGCTGTCCACGGTTGTGAAGAAATATGCTCTTCCTGAGTCAATAACTGCTTACCTTTCTGGCGGATGGCGATGAATTTGTGATTCTTTTTGACGAGCTGATTTTTGCTGTAACTTGTATGAATTGTATTTTAATGTATTTTATATTGATGATTTAGAATGTTTTTCTTATTGTTCTGTATCTTATGTTGTTAGCCGGCCTGAGTCCCTCCTCAAAGGTCGAGAAGACTGAGTTATAAAAACTCTAAACAAACAAACAAACAAATGTCTGTCAAAAATATCCGTACATTATAACAATAATACCAATATGCCTATATTAATAATAAGAATATAATAAGAATATATATACTATATAATAATATGTATACACCTATATTATAATAACAATATAATATAATATAATATAATTATAATAACAACGAGTTTTTTTAAATACTGGTAGCCAGATTTTGTTCATTTTCATGGTCTCTTCCTTTCTGTTGAAATTGTCCACATGCTTGTGGATTGCAATGGCTTCTCTGTGTAGCCTGACATGGTGGTTGTTGGTGTGGTCCAGCATTTCGGTGTTCTCAAATAATATGCTGTGTCCAGGCTGGCTCATCAGGTGCCAGTATTAAAAAACTCGAAAATTACAACAGCAAAACAGCAGAGAGGAAACAACCAGGCACATCTTAACACCTCTCAACAGGAGATTTTCCCAGGCTCAGCCAGGCCTTCAAATGCTAATGAAGGTGGTCAGTTGAAACATTCACACCCAGCTCCAGCAGAGAAGAGCTCCTTGCCCCACCTCAGCCATTCCACAGATATATAAACCCATTGTCCTAGTTCCAACAGACCTCACTACCTCTGAAGATGCTTGCCATAGATGCAGGCGAAACGTCAGGAGAAATGCCTCTAGAACATGGCCATATAGCCCGAAAAAACCCACAAGAACAACATGTGCATGGCTGAAAAGGTCTTGGGAATCCAGCTTTTGTGCAGGAAGTCAGAGAATGAGCCTGGGAAAGGCCTAGGCCTGGAAGAAGCCACTTGGGCCTCCCTTACCTGCGTCCACTCCTCTTCGAAGCTCCCGCCAAGAAAGACAGGAAGGAAGGAGAGCCTCAGATAACACAGGCAAGCCACTTCCGGCCTCACAGGAAAAGGAAGAAGAGTGACGCACTTCCATCAGCCCCTCGTTTCCAAGGAAACAGAGTTCTCTTGCATTTGATTGGCGGGAAGGTTTGATTGAGGCAGGCCTAGGGGGCGTGTCATGGAGATGGCAGCCAATCAGAGGCCCGGAAGGGAAAGGCGCCAAATTATTTGAAGCCAGTCTCACTTTAAGGAGTGGCTGGGAAGCTTTGTTTAAGGGATGGCCTTTGTCTTCAAATCCTTTGAGGTTTTGTGCAGTATTTAACATAGAATCATAGAATGATGGAGTTGGAAGGGGCCATATGGGCCACCCAACCCTCTGCCTTGCAGGAAAAGCACCATCAAAGCACCCCTGACAGATGGCCATCCAAGCCATAATAATAACTGAGACTTGTGCGCCAGCTGCGCCCGTATGCCAGGCCGCTGAATAGCTCTTACAATCAGAATCATAGAGTTGGAAGAGACCTGGTGGGACATCCAGTCCAACCTCCTTCTGCCATGCAGGAAAAGCACCATCAAAGCACCCCTGACAGATGGCCATCCAGCCATAGTAAGAATCATATAGTAATAGAGTTGGAAGGGACCACATGGGCCATCCAGCCCAACCCCCTTCTGCCATCAAAGCCCCATCAAAGCACCCCTAAGAGATGGACATCCAGCCTCTGTTTGGGAGTTTCCAAGGAAGGAGCTTCTGCCACACTAAGGAAGAGAGTCCCACTGCTGAACAGCTCTTTCAAGCATAGAAACATAGATTTGGAAGAGACCTGGTGGGCCATCCAGTCCAACCCCCTTCTGCCATCCAGGAAAAACACCATCAAAGCACCCCTGACAGATGGAAATCCAGCCTGAGTCTGTAGGTTTCCAAGAAGCTTATGTCACACTGAGGCAGAGAGTCCCACTGCTGAACAACTCTTACAGTCATTGAATCCTAGAGTTGGAAGAGACCTAGTGGGACATCCAGTCCAACCCCCTTCTGCCATGCAGGAAAAACACCATCAAAGCGCCCCTGACAGATGGCCATCCGGCCATAATAAGACTCAAATAAGAATAGAATTGGAAGGGACCACATGGGCCATCCAGCCCAAACCCCTTCTGCCATGTAGGAAAAGCACCATCAAAGCACCCCTGACAGATGACCATCCAGCCTCTGATTAGAAGTTTCCAAGGAAGGAGCTTATGTCACACTGAGAAAGAGAGTCCCACTGCTGAACAGCTCTTACAATCATAGAATCATAGAGTTGGAATTGACCTGGTGGGACATCCAGCCCAACCCCCTTCTGCCATGCAGGAAAAGCACCATCAAAGCACCCCTGACAGATGGCCATCCAGCCATAATAAGAATAATATAATAGAGTTGGAAGGGATCACATGAGCCATCCAGCCCAACCCTCTTCTGCCATGTAGGAAAAGCACCATCAAAGCACCCCTGACAGATGGCCATCCAGCCTCAGTCTGTAGGTTTCCAAGAAGCTTATGCCACACTGAGGCAGAGAGTCCCACTGCTGAACAGCTCTTGCAATCATAGAATCATAGAGTTGGAAGGGACCACATGGGCCATCCAGCCTAACCCCCTTCTGCCATGCAGGAAAAGCACCATCAAAGCACCCCTGACAGATGGCCATCCAGCCTCTGTTTGGGAGTTTCCAAGGAAGGAGCTTCTGCCATACTGAGGCAGAGAGTCCCACTGCTGAACAGCTCTTACAGTCATTGAATCCTAGAATTGGAAAAGACCTGGTGGGACATCCAGCCCAAACTCCTTCTGCCATATAGGAAAAGCACCATCAAAGCGCCCCTGACAGATGGCCACCCAGCTTCTGTTTGGGAGTTTCCAAGGAAGAAGCTTCTGCCACACTGAGGCAGAGAGTCCCACTGCTGAACAGCTCTTACAATCAGAATAAGAGAGTTGGAAGAGACCTGGTGGGGCACCTGGTGTCTGCTTGGAGTCCCCAAACTGGGGAAATCATAATGACTGACAGCTCATTCGGAAGCTGAGCCATAACACCATGCCCCGCCTACAATCCTTCTCCGCCAATCAAAAGCAGGAGTTCTGTTTCCCCGCCCCTTTCCGGAAGTGAGGCCTAAGGGAAGCGAGTCACTCTCCTCCTGGACGCTTCCTGTTTCTCTAGGACGTCGGGGAGCTCTGTGGTTCTTAAAGGAGCTTCTCCACCTCTCTGTGAATGTGTCTTGGATCCTCTCCCTCTCCCTACAAGGAAGGAGAGAAGGAAGGAAGGCCTTCTTGGGGGACAGAGGCAGCTCTCTGAAAGAGGAGAGGGAGGCCTCTGTGGGCCACCATTGCAGACCCCCAAAATCCCCATCCCTCCCTTAGACTAGGCCTGAGCAAACTTGGGCCCTCCCTCCAAGTGTGTTGTGGTCCCAGAGCACAGTCTGTTCAGTGTCCAGGAGGGAGTCTCTCATTCGGTATTGACATTCCAGGTTTTATCCTGCCACTTTTGGACTCTTGCTTGCTGAGGGATGGACATTCCAGGTTTTTATCCTACCGCTTTTGGACTCTTGCTTGCTGAGGGATTGACATTCCAGGTCTTATCCTGCCGCTTTTGGACTCTTGCTTGCTGAGGGATTGACATTCCAGGTTTGTATCCTGCTGCTTTTGGACTCTTGCTTGCTGAGGTGTACCTGTAAGTATGTCTGCACAACTTATAAAAACTCTTTCTTGATTTAAGGTGTTGGCGTGCTTGCTTGGCTGATATCCGAGCAGAGGACGGGCCGGAGATGTCACTGCCTTGCTTCTGTCATTGTTTATTTATTTACTGTATTTGTAGACCGCCTTTCTCAGCCCGCAGGCGACTCAAGGCGATGAACAGGGCAAAATACAATGCTTACAATGTCTTAAGTACAATTAAAGACATGTCAGTTACTCTGCATTTGGAAACACTTGTTCAAAAAGCAACGTCTTGACATTTTTCCGGAATGTTAAAAGGGAAGGGGCCGATCTAATATCCACAGCCGAGGGGCCACCGCCGAGAAGGCTCTGTCTCTCGTCTCATAGAATTGTAGAATTGTAGAATCATAGAGTTGGAAGAGACCTCGTGGGCCATCCAGTCCAACCCCATTCTGCCAAGAAGCAGGAATATTGCATTCAAAGCACCCCTGACAGATGGCCATCCAGCCTCTGTTTAAAAGCTTCCAAAGAAGGAGCCTCCACCACACTTTGTTGGTCATGGGGGCCCTGTGTGCCATGTTTGGTTCAATTACATCATTGGTAGAGTTCAGAATACTTTTTGATGGTAAGTGAACTATAAATCCCAGCAACTACAACTCCCAAATGACTAAATCGTTTTTTTAAGTGATGGTTACTCCTTAGGTCAGTGAGTGTCTTGTGTCCAAATTTGGTGTAAATTCATCCAGTAGTTTTTGAGTTATATTAATCCCACAAACAAACATTACATTTTTATTTATATAGATTGTTATTATACACATGTCTGTGTTTTAGGTGGATTAGGAATTGGCTGGTTTTCCCTTGTAATAGGCAGTAAGTGAACCTAAAGCTTCGGAGAGCTTCTGTTCAACCATTTCAAAGCTCCCTGCTTGAGCAGTGATGGCACAATTGTCAGCATAGATGAAACTCTCTGTCCCTTCTGGCAGTAGCTGATAATTTGTGTAAATGTTAAACATTGATGAAGTGAGCACGCTCCCCTGAGGCAGGGCGTTCTTCTGTTTTCGCCATCTGCTTCTCTGGCCCTGGAATTCAACAAAAAAGCTCTATTTTTGTAGCGGATTTCCTATGAAGCGTGTGAGGTGCTAATCTTTTGTGATATTATATATTTTTTTTCCTTAGGAGAAGGTGATGATTTACAGTATCATAAGCTGCTGACAGGTCTATGAAGACAGTTCCTGCCTTTCAAAGCCATCTTCTATGTGCTGAGTCAGTAGCAAAGTGCAAGGGCAGATGTCTTTACTGTATCTGATTGTGATCCCCAGGTTGTGCCAGTACAAAAAGTACTGTAATATATTCTATTTATTTTACAGGTTCTTGAACACATCATTGAACAGACAAGTTCAACCTCTGCACGTGCCGTGCGGCAGTTTTTGACAGCCCAACAGACGGAGGGGCAGTACTTCCCAGAAAGCAAAAACGAAGTGCCAGGCAGTAGTTCTGTTGGCAATTTCATATTGCAGAGCAGTCATGGAACAGAAAGCCAGAGCATCCCAAATGAAAGGAAAAGGAAAGGGTACCCACTGGCGGTACCGTGAAATCCAAGATTTGCTTGTTATCTGGGGGGAGAAAAAGGTTCAGGATGCACTGAAAGCGGTCCATAAAAACTTAGATGTGTTTGAAGGAATAGCAGAACAGATGCGGGACAGGGGCCACAGTCGGACTGCTGAGGAGTGCCGCAACAAAACGAAGGCAATGAGGTTCGAGTACAAGAGGGTACAGGCGCATAACGAATGCTCGGGAAACGCTCCTAAAACATGTGCATTTTACGCCGAGCTAGAAAACATTCTCAAAGGAGATGCAAGCACCGACTTTCCCAGGCTCTCAAGAAGTTGGCCAGTCCGAAGAGAGGAACGTCCTCTGACCCAGAATCTGGATGCAACCATTTTGGAAGAGACATGTTCCCGGGAGTCAGTCCTGGATGCACAAGCTTCTGGTCCTTCAGTGATTACTGTGGAAGGTATTTCTGGCACTAATATTCCATCCCACCGTCGTTATAGATAATGCTCACATCCCACCAGCAGCTGTGCTTCTATAATATTTTCAAAGTACTCTGTGTGTGTGTGTGTGTGTATGTGTGTATGTATGTGTGTATATATATATATATACATACACACACACACACACACACACACACACACACACTAGCTGTCCCCTGCCATGTGTTGCTTTGGCCCACTCTGATGATTTCGAAAATAAAGTAATTAGAAAGTGTTTGTTTCTAATATATGTAATTGCTTTATATTTGTGGATAAACAGTATTTCTTGTTGTTTCTTTGTCAGTGTTGATGTGGAGAGTGTCTGGTTTGCCTCCTCTGGAACATGCAACATATCATTGTCCTTCTTTAGGGGTCCTTTTCAAATCTATGAAACTATATATCTCTCTGTTTGAATCATATCTATCTATCTATATCTATGGCTGGATGGCTCTTTATCTGGAAGGCTTCGATTACGTTTTCTTGCCCTGGTGAAGGGAGTTGGACTGAATGGCCTTAAGTATGGGGGTTCTGTGTGGGAAGTTTGGCCCAATTCTGCTGTTTGTGGGGTTCAGAATGCTCTTTGATTGTAGGTGAACTATAAATCCAAGTAACTACAACTCCCAAATGTCTATTTCCCTCAAACTCCATCTGTGTTCATATATGGAGTATTTGTGCCAAGTTTGGTCCAGATCCATCATTGTGTGAGTCCACAGTGATCTCTGGATGTAGGTGAACTACAACTCCCAAACTCAAGGTCAATGCCCACCAAACCCTTCTAGTGTTTTCTGTTGGTAATGAGAGTCCTGTATGCCACGTTTGGTTCAATTCCATTGTTGGTGGTGTTCAGAATGGTCTTTGATTGTAGATGAACTATAAATCCCAAGAACTACAACTCCCAAATGACAAAATAAAAAAAAATTGAGTGAAGGACATACATTGGATTGTTAGGTGTCTTGTGTCCAAATTTGGTGTCAATTTGCCCACTGGTTTTTGAGTTCTGTTAATCCCACAAACGAACATTACATTTTTATTTATATAGATGAGTATAAGCCTAGTGTTTAGCCTTTTTTTAGGCCTTCCTCTCTACCTTTCTCATGCACCTTCCTCTCCTCCTGCTGTGCTAAGGGAGGAGAGGCCACGCACCTTCCATTCCTCAGTCTTTCCCACTTCCTCCCTTCCCACCTCAGTTCCCCCCCCACTTTTCCAGCACCCCCTTTCCACCCCAGTCTTCCCTTTTTCTAGTTTCCCCCTTCCAATCCCAGTCTAGCCCCTCTTCCCCACTTTCCCAGCTTCCTTTCCATCCCAGCTTTTCCCAGGTGCAGTCTCTCTTTCCCATATGTTTTGTCCCTTTTCCCTTTTATTTATTTTTGTATCAAAAACATTGCAAAAACTAGTATAAAACTGATAAAAATAGAAGGAGCACAAGCGGCTAAATATGTGTGCCAAATTTGGTCCTGATCCATCATTGGTGGGGGTCGCAGTGATCTGTGGGAGCAGAAGTGTTTGAAAGTACTGCAAATCCCATCATTCATGGTCTGTCCTTCCCCAAACTTCACCAAGACATGATGTGGGCCATGTGGGTTCTATTTACTTATTTATTGTGTCAGAAGCAACCAGACAGTTGTATGACATTTTTAACAAAACAAACAGACAAAACACAAAGTTTGCAAGCTAGGTAGTTGATTAAATGTCCTTTGACCAGTATTTGGCCCCTTGGAGTGCCTTTGGTGTTGCCGCAAGAAGGTCCTCCATTGTGCATGTGGCAGAGCTCAGGTTGCATTGCAGCAGGTGGTCAGTGGTTTGCTCTCTTCCACACTCGCATGTTGTGGATTCCACTTTGTGGCCCCATTACTTAAGATTGGCTCTGCATCTCGTGGTGCCAGAGCGCAGTGTGTTCAGGGCCTTCCAAGTCGCCCAGTCTTCTGTGTGCCCAGGGGGGAGTCTCTCATTGGGTATCAGCCACTGATTGAGGTTCTGGGTTTGAGCCTGCCACTTTTGGACTCTCGCTTGCTGAGGTGTTCCAGCGAGTGTCTCTATAGATCTTAGAAAACTATTTCTTGATTTAAGTCGTTCACATGCTGGCTGATACCCAAACAAGGGATGAGCTGGAGATGTTACTGCCTTGGTCTTTTCACTATTGGCTGCTACTTCCTGGCAAATGTCAGGTGGTGCAATACCGGCTAAACAGTGTAATTTCTCCAGTGGTGTAGGGCGCAGGCACCCTGTGATAATGCGGCATGTCTCATTAAGAGCCACATCTACTGTTTTAGCGTGGTGAGATGTGTTTCACACTGGGCATGTGTACTCAGCCGCAGAATAGCCAAGCGCAAGGGCAGATGCCTTCACTGTGTCTGGTTGTGATCCCCAGGTTGTGCCAGTCAGCTTTCGTATGATATTGTTTCTAGCACCCACTTTTTCCTTGATTTTCAGACAGTGGGTTCTGGGTGCCAAATTTGGTCCAGGTCCATAATTTATGGGGGTTGCTGTGGCCTGTGGAAGTGGCATCCAATCAGAAAGCAGAAGGAAACAATGCCACAAACATACGAACACTGACTTTTTAATATATATAGAAATATAGGTATAGAATTACTGGTAACTGCTGCATTTCTGACCCTCAAGTCAAATAGTTTTCCCAATTTTTTTGTGGTAAAATTAGGTGCCTCGGCTTATATTCAGGTAGGCTTATTCTTGAGTATATATGGTATTTCAACCTGCCATGTCTTTACCTATTCATAGAAGCTGTATGAATAGGTAGAAAAAACGGTTATATAACTTCTGATGTAATACTGTCCCCCTGCTGTAAAAAAATGTACGTCTCATGGCTTTCTCCATTGGCCATAATAAGTGATTTCGCTTTTTGTCTCCTTAATGCGCAGGAACGGAAGGCAATGAGGAAGATTCCTTATTACTTCTCCTTGGTAAGCAATACTAAAAGGTGCAGTTGTTTGTCATCTCAACGATGTAACACTTCATTTATAAACGTCACGTATAATTGCAGAGGAAGCAAATGGAGAGGTTTTGGAACCGGTGAATGTCCATGCTCCACCGGCCCTTGTGGGATCGCCTTCAGTGACACCCATAACAACCGAAGCAGAAGATGAGGGAGAACCAGAGACCCCAAACCAAAACCAGCAGTCACTTAAACAAGAAAGTAAGTTGATTCCCCTTTCAGTTCATCTAAGGGAGTCTTTCTCAATCTTCCTGATACCGCGACCCCTTAATACTGTTCCTCATATTGTGGTGACCCCCAACCATAACATTATTTTCATTGCTACTTCACAACTGTAATTTTGCTACTGTTGTGAATTGTAATGTAAATATCTGATATGCAGGATGCATTTTCATTCACTGAACCCAATTTGGCACAAATACCCGATAGAGTGTAGATTTGTAAAGGCTTCCTCTTCGTTGTCTGATATTCTATTCAATCTAGTATGCTGCCACCATCTGTGAGGTACTAGGCTATGCTGCCACCATCTGTGAGGTTTTTTCCCCCTTGAAATAGTACACTGAGACTTGAGTTACTAAAACAAGAACAAATTTATTTGGAGTATGGAAGGGTCTTAATCGTTTCAGAGTTCTCTTCTCCTGAGGTATAAAGCTTCACGAGTTACAGTTTCAACAAATCTTAATATAACTTTAGGATGTCTTTTACTTCACCAACTAGTTCTCCAGTTGTTACACTTCTAAATATGTTTCCTTATTTGACAGATTAACTAAGGTCAGCTAATGCCCTTGTCTCCCTTCAGTTTCCTGCTGAAGTAAAGACTCCCAGTGGGATTTCTTCTCCTATTAGCACATGGCTAAACCACAAACCTAAATAAATCCCCTTGACTTATTTAAATCATGCAGGCTAAAAGCTTTCCCTTAGTTTGGTTCACTACACGTTTGAACCACCTTCTCTTTGGCTCGATGACCAAAGGACTGAAGCCTCAAAATGTCTGTCTCTGGTAAGTGCAGTTGGCTCCACCCCTTTCTCCATGGCAACCTAACTCAGAGTGCTGAGCTTGGTCCCATCCACCTAGTTCTGCCATTTCTAAATGGTTAAACCTTTATGTACATCCATAAATGTCTTTTACCTCCTGAACACATACATATAATAATATTCAACCATCTAAGCATATGTGTGTGTGTGTGTATATATATATATATACATACACACACACACACACACACAATCATATTTAACTGTAGAGACACATATGCATAACTACGCTTAACCTACAGTTAAAAATCAATGCTTCATCACAGTAATGTAAATCTCTGATATGCAGGATGCACTTTCATTCACCGGACCCAATTTGGCACAAATACCTGACAGAGTGTTCCCTCACTACTTTGTGGCTCGCTTTTCATGGACTCGAAGTTTTGCGGGTTTTTAATAAATATTAATGTACAGCTTTGGCTCCCTTCTCTTGCTGGATTGAGAGCAGGAGAATAGCAAAGCCCGCAGGGTTATCAACCAACGGATTTATATTACATTAAACTCAATATGGCGAACTGAGGAAAAGAAGGAATGGCTGACCTTGAGGCAAAGATTGGTCTACGCAGAGTCCTTCTTTAAACAAAGGCAGTCCTAGAGGAGGAGCGGGATATATGAACTGACGATTTAGGCGACGAAAAACAAAGAGAGGGAAATAAGAGAGAAGACTATGGAAGTGGAGGCAGGGTATAAAGGATCACGATATACTATATCAATATATCACCAAATATCTCACCGCTGGCCACCACTATAACAAATACGAAATATCAATCCCGGCACTGGCACCAATTATACGTATATACTATAATATATCCCACAGCTGAACACCACTGTAAAGGATTATATGTAATATCACACCATTGGACACCAGTAAGAAGGAAAATATCACAACCAGTGATGCGAGGCTGGAGGCTTATTGATAATATGTCTGGGCAGGATGATTCTTCTCCCAAAGATTCACTTTTTCCTCAAAATCCAGCCCTGTGCCTCCAATTTGGTAGCGAGATGTAGATAGATATGTGTAATGGTAGAGTGAACACTGCTTGTCTTTTAGTCTTTTGGTTTAAAGCTCCCACCAACCCAAGTTGCCTTAGGATTTTTAAAATGAGTTTTTGAGGTAAACTTTCCCCACTTCTGCCAACACTGCTCTTCCCCTAGCTCCCAGAATGCCTATTTGATAAGAGGCCTTTCTGTTGTATCAGGATGTTAAAGATTATTATTATTATTATTAACTTTATTTGTACCCCGCTAGCATTTCCCGAGGGACTCGATGCGGCTTACACAGGCTGAAGCCTCAGAACACAATACAATAAAAACATAACACAACAATAAACAAAGCAAATCAAATAATTAAGCAAATAAACAACAAAGCAAATCAAATAATTAAGCAAATAACAACAGTAACAATACATCAAGACACCTTAAAACTGGGCCGGCCAGTGCAAAGGGGTACAAGTGCTGGAATGGCAGGAGGAACGTAGGATTAAAATAGTGTGGTGTGCAGAATATTAATTGTACTAAAGTGCTTCTAGGACTTGGGATGGGGGATTCCTAATCTGAGAAGGCACATCGGAACAGCCAACGTTTTTAGGTTCTTTCTGAAAGCTGCTAAAGTAGGGGCCTGTCGAAGATCTTTTGGAAGGGCGTTCCAAAGTCGGGGGGCCGCCACAGAAAAGGCCCTGTCCCGTGTCCCCACCAAGCGCGCTTGCGACGTGGGTGGGATCACGAGCAGGGCCTCCCCAGATGACCGGAGCGAGCGTGTGGGTTCGTAGATGGAGATGCGGTCACGCAGGTAGGGTGGTCCCAAACCGTTCAGGGCTTTGTAGGTGAGCACCTGCACCTTGAATTGGGCTCGGAAAATAAATGGCAGCCAGTGGAGCTCCTTAAACAGAGGGGTAGACCTCTCTTGATAATGAGCCCAGTTAGCATCCTGGCTGCTGCCCGCTGGACCAATTGAAGTTTCCGAGCCGTCTTCAAGGGCAGCCCCACGTAGAGCGCATTGCAGTAATCCATTCTAGAGGTGACCAAGGCATGGACCACCCCAGCCAGGTCAGCCTTCGCGAGGTACGGTCGCAGCTGGCGCACAAGTCTTAATTGTGCAAAGGCCCTCCCGGATACCGCCGACACCTGAGCCTCAAGTGTGAGCGACGAATCCAAGAGGACACCCAAACTGCGGACCTGTGGCTTCAGGGGGAGTGTAACCCCGTCCAACACAGGTAGCCACCCTATACCCCGATCCGGTTTACGATCGACCAGGAGGACCTCTGTCTTGTCAGGATTGATCTTCAGCTTGTTCCTCCTCATCCAGATCGACACAGCGGCCAGGCACTCGTCCAGCACCCGAGAGGCCTCCTTGGAATTAGGTGGAAAGGAGTAGTAGAGTTGTGTGTCATCCGCATAAAGATGGCACCCAACTCCAAAACTCCGGATGACCTCTCCCAGCGGTTTCATGTAGATGTTGAAAAGCATGGGCGACAAAATAGAGCCTTGCGGGACCCCACAGGTCAAAGGCCAGGGGTCCGAGCAGGCGTCTCCCAGCTTCACCATCTGGGTTCGTCCCTCCAGGAAGGACCGGAGCCACGACAAAACCGCGCCCCCGATGCCCATCCCAGAGAGACGACCCAGAAGGATACCATGATCGATGGTATTGAAAGCCGCTGAGATGTCCAAGAGAACCAGCAGAGTCACACTCCCCCTGTCCAGCTCTCTGCGGAGGTCATCCACCAAGGCGACCAAGGCTGTCTCGGTGCCGTGACCAGGCCTGAAACCAGACTGTGACTGATCTAGGTAGTTGCTGATCTAGGTAGATGCTGGAATTATCACAAAGGATTAATGACAGATTGAGGAATGATAGAGACCTTGTTGAAAGTGGGGTTCTGTTTTTGAATTCTGTTTTTGAGGGGTTGGGGGTTCTGTTTTTGAATTCTGAGAGTTGTAGTTCACCAAAACCAAAAAGGAAGAGAAAGACAGGCAGAGAGATCTTCAGCCTCCTTTGCAAAAAGGATTGGTAAGACCATAAGAAATATGTGTTTCCTGATGGTCTTTGGCGAACCCTCTTAAACCCCCTTCGCGACCCCTCCAGAGATCCCGACCTCCATGTTGAGAAACACTGGTCTAAGGGTATTGTACTATAGAACTGGGGCAAAGCGAGTTCTCCTACGAAATGCTGCACTTAAAGTTATGACAGCAGTATGAGATAACAAAGAACGGATATTTGAGCGGATGTGATATGTACTCATACCTTTATTTATAGGAGAAGACCCCCTGGTCAAGGCAGGACTATCCCCTGGCACACGTGTACGGACTCAAAGGACCAGAAGACGAGGTCGGCGGGGTGAAAATATCGCCATGGCAATCATGCAGAATGCGAACGAGCAGGCCCGACTGCAGCGCGAAGCCATGCGCGAGGACACCTCCCAGGACAGGCAGATCCTTCTGAGCTTTTTTCACTACTTTGAGGAGGAGAGTAGAGCGTCCCAACAGAGGTTCGACACAATAGAGAAACTGATACGGGACGTTTTGGAACGACCCCGAGCGGAGAAGCTGTGTTGCACGCATTGCACAACTTGCTGCAACGCAGCGGCAGTGCAAGAGCAACAGGATCCTGAAGCGAGACCTAGGATTCCACCACTCAGCCAGACTGACATTGACATGGCCAGTACTAGTGCGGCTCGCCATGTGCAACCACTCCCTGATAGTTTTGGGCGAGTGAGCCTAGGAGAGACTTCCCCCATCAACAACCCTGTCTCAGCATACATTATGGAACTTGCACACTCATCTAGCCAGCTGGCTGAGGCACAGAGAGAGCTGTCTGAGGACACAGAGGGGACAAGAAAGAGTGAAAGGGAGAGGAAGAGGAAGAAACCATACAGCCCGTAGTTATTTGTATTTACTTTACTAGCATGTGTTTTGTATTTCCTGATTGGTTACTTTTGCAGGCAGACATATGAAGCTCCAAACATGACATTATGTTCCTGTCATTGCTGACATTGGTTAAACCCTTGTGCCAGCAGGACTGAAGACCAACAAGTTGGAAGTTCGAATCCAGGGAGAGCGTGGATGAGCTTCCTCTGTCAGCTCCAGCTCCCCATGCAGGGATATGAGGGAAGCCTCCTGCAAGGATGGTAAAACATCAAAACATCTGGGCAACGTCCCCTGGGCAGGGTCCTTGCAGACGGCTAAGGGAATGGAGGGAAGGAAGGGAGAAGGAAGGAAAACGAGAAGGAAGGAGAAAGAGGGAAGAAGGGGAGAAAGAGGAAGAAAGGACGAAAGGAAAGAGAGGAGGGAGAAAGACGGAGGTAAGGAAGGAAGGGGAATGGGAAGGAGAGAAGGATAGGATGGTGAGAGAGAGAAAGACCTGAGAAAAGAGCCCAAGGGGCTGCATCCAACCCCCAGACCTTGGTTTGTCCATACCTGGTGTAGACTCATATAATCCAATTCAAAGCAGAGTGTGTGAGTGATCCGCTTTGATAATGTGGATTATATGTCAGTGGATTTATACAATCCAGTTCAAAGCAGAGCATGTGTGTGATCTGCTTTGATAATCTGGATTAAATGTCAGTGTAGACTCATACAATCCAGTTCAAAGCAGAGCATGTGTGTGATCTGCTTTGATAATCCAGATTAAATGTCAGTGTAGACTCGTACAATACAGTTCAAAGCAGAGGGTGTGGGTGATCTGCTTTGATAATCCAGATATGTCAGTGTAAACTCATACAATCCAGTTCAAAGCAGAGTACGTGGGTGATCTGCTTTGATAATCCAAATATGTCAGTGTAGACTCATACAATCCAGTTCAAAGCAGAGTGTGGGTGATCTGCTTCGATAATCCAGATTGACTGATATAATTCAGTTTAAAGCAGAGTGTTCTGGCCCAGCTTACTTGTCCGAGCGTATCTCCCCTTTTGTCCCACCTCGAATTTTACGATCTTGCGGGGAGGCCCTGCTCTCAATCCTACCTTCATCGCAAATGCGCTTGGTGGGGATGAGGACAGGGCCTTTTTGGCACTGGCCCCCCACCTGTGGAACGTGTTCCCCAGCGAAATTAGGTCAGCTAAGACGTGTCTGTGGGACCAGGCATTCAGATAGCAGGTTGATAATAAAAATGATGACAATACAATGGAAAACAGACTGGCTTTGGATTAAGTTGATGGTTGTTGAACTCTGACCATTTGTACTATTTTAAATAGTTTTAAATCTAATTTATTATTTACTTATTAGGTAACTGTTGTTTTATCTGTTGTATATATGGGGCATCAAATTGTTGCCAGTTGTAAGCCGCCCTGAGTCCCCCTCGAGGGGGAGAGAAGGGTGGGGTACAAATATTTTGAAATAATAAATAAATACATAAATGTCAATGTAGACTCATATAATACAGAGCGTGGGTGATCCATCTGCTCTAATAATCTGCATTACATGTCAGTGTACAAGGGGCCCCAGATTCCCTCCTGCTTGAGTGCCTTTCCTGCTTCATTCAGAAAAATGCTGCACTCGCAGAGCTTAGGCAGTTTCAGTTTCAATGTTGACTCGGACCATGAGGGATTGCCTAAATAAGTGCTTTCCTCCCCTTGGAGTCTGCTTGGAATCTCCAAACTGGGGACATAATAATGACTGTGCCTTTCCTCCTGCTTCATTTGGAAAAATGCTGCGCTCGCAGAGCTCAGGCGGTGTTGTATTTCAGTGTCGTGTTGATAAGGACTTTCCTCCCTCGGAGTCTGCTTGGAATCCCCAAACTGGGGAAATCATAATGACTGTGCCTTTCCTCCTGCTTCATTTGGAAAAGTGCTGCACTCACAGAGCTCAGGCGGTGTCTTATTTCAGTGACAGTGTTCACTCAGACAATGAGGGATCGCCTAAGTAAGGACTTTCCTCCCCTTGGAGTCTGCTTGGAATAATAATTACTGTGCCCTTCCTCCTGCTTCATTTGGAAAAATGCTGCACTCGCAGAGCTCAGGCGGTGTTGTATTTCAGTGACAATGTTGACTCGGACAACGAGTGATTGCCAGAGTAAGAACTTTCCTCCCCTTGGAATCTGCTTGGAATCCCCAAACTGGGAAAATAATAATTACTGTGCCTTTCCTCCCGCTTCATTTGGGAAAATGCTGCACTCGCAGAGCTCAGGCGGTGTTGTATTTCAGTGTCAATGTTGACTCGGGACAACGAGGGATCACCTAAGTAAGTACTTTCCTCCCTTGGAGTCTGCTTGGAATCCCCAAACTGGGGAAATCATAATGACTGACAGATCATTCGGAAGCTGAGCCTTAATCTTCAACCCAGGCCTGCCTTCAAGTACTGCAAAAACCCCACTCGTTTGCCCTGCTCCCTTCCCTTTCCCACCTCTTCTTGATAACATGATGGCAACAGTCTTGGACAGCAATGGCTCCCAAAGTGGCCCATGTAAGGTGGAATCAGGTGTCAAACAGGGATGTGTTATTGCCCCAACATTATTCTCCATCTTCATCGCTATGATACTTCATCTTGTTGATGGGAAGCTTCCCACCGGAGTGGAAATCATCTATCGGACAGATGGCAAGCTGTTTAACTTCAGCAGACTGAAAGCCAAAACCAAGGTTACAACAACATCTGTTATAGAACTCCAGTATGCTGATGACAACATCTGTGCGCATTCAGAAGAAGACCTCTAGGCCACTCTAAACACCTTTGCAGAAGCATACGAGAAGCTCGGCCTGTCATTGAACATTGGGAAAACCAAAGTGCTCTTCCAGCAGTCACCAGCCAATCCCTCTCCAATGCCAGAGATACACCTTCATGGTGTAACATTAGACAATGTGGACCATTTCCGCTCTCTTGGCAGCCACCTCTCCACCAAAGTCAACATCGACACCGAAATACAACACTGCCTGAGCTCTGCGAGTGCAGCATTTCCCCGAATGAAGCAGAGAGTGTTTGAGGACCGGGACATCCGTAGGGAGACCCGTAGCTTGTTTATAAAGCTATTCCCCTCCCAACTCTGCTCTATGCCTGCGAAACATGGACTGTCTACAGATGTCACAGGCAACTCCTGGAACGATTCCATCAGCGCTGCCTCTGGAAAATCCTGCAAATCTCTTGGGAAGACAGGTGGACAAACGTCAGCGTGCTGGAAGAAGCAAAGACCACCAGCATCGAAGCGATGGTCCCCCGCCACCAACTCCGCTGGAACGGCTACATTGTCCGGATGCCTGACCACCGTCTCCCAAAACAGTTGCTCTACTCTGAACTCGAGAACGGAAAACGGAATGTTGCTGGGCAGGAAAAGAGATTGAAAGATGGGCTCAAAGCCAACCTTAAAAACTCTGGCATAGACACTGAGAACTGGGAAGCCCTGGCCCTTGAGCCCTCCAGCTGGAGGTCAGCTGTGACCAGCAGTGCTGCAGGATTTGAAGAGGCATGAATGGAGGGCGAAAGAGAGAAACGTGCCAAGAGGAAGGTGCCTCAAGCCAACCCCGACCGGGACTGCCTTCCACCTGGAAGCCAATGCCCTCACTGTGGGAGAAGATGCAGAGCAAGAATAGGGCTCCACAGTCACCTATGGAACCACACCCAGGATATTATACTTGGAGGACCAAGTGGCTTGAATCCCAACACCTCCAAGTGTTGCCTTCCTTCATGTAGGAGGCTCCCTCCACCTATCAGAAGCCGTGTACAGACACCACGCCCCGCCTACAATCCTTCTCCACCAATGAAAGGCAGGAGTTCTGTTTCCCCGCCCCTTTCCGGAAGTGAGGCCTAGGGGAAGCGCGTCTCTCTCTTCCAGGACGCTTCCTGTTTCTCTAGGACATCGGGGAATCTCTGTGGTTCTTAAAGGAGCTTCTCCTCCTTTCTGTGTGTCTCAGATCTCCTCCCAAGGAAGAAAGGTAAGAAGGAGGGAAGGAAGGCCTTCCTGGGGGGCAGAGGGGGCTCTCTCTATGGGGAAGGGGCTCCTCCACTGAAAGAGGTGTGGGCCACCATTGCAGACCCCCCAAATCCCCTTCCCTCCCTTAGACCAGGCCTGGGCCAACTTGGGCCCTCCCTCCAGGTGTTTTGGACTCCAACTCCCACAATCCCTAACAGCCTAGGCCTGCCTTAGACCCTGCTGTTGCTCTCCCAGCTGGAGGCACTCCTTATTATGGGATAGGAGGCATATATCTATCTATATCTGTCTATCTATCTATCTATCTATCTATCTACACACACACAAACTATATATACAGTATAATAATATAACAACAACATATAATAATATATAGAAATAATAATATTGTAATGTAACTGGGCTGGTATATTGTATGTAACATAGTATATTGTATGTTGTAATATAGTATATTGTATGTCACATATATTTATTATTTATTTATTATTTATTTCTTGCACTTATTAACCGCCACTCTCAGCCCTAGGGCGACTCGTGGCGGTGTACAACAACATAGAAAGACAGTTTACAATAAATCAAGACAATAAACACAATCTACTACTACATGACAACTACTTATACTAAAAATCCGCTTCGTCATATCCTGGGGTCATAATCAATCTCATAGTCATAGTCCATTCCGGTCGTCATTTCCAATAACATAGCACTCAGTTGAAGGCCAATTCGAAAAGCCATGTTTTCAGGCCCTTACGAAAGGCCATAAGGGAGGGCGCCTGTCTAAGTTCAGCAGGGAGGGAGTTCCAAAGCCGGGGGGCCACCACCGAGAAGGCCCGCTCCCTCGTCCCCGCCAGACGTGCCTGTGAGGCAGGCGGGACCGAGAGAAGGGCCTCCCCAGATGATCTCAAGGTCCTCGTGGGCTCATAGGCCGAGATGCGGTCTGCAAGGTATTTTGGGCCGGAACCGTTTAGGGCTTTGTAGGATAACACCAGCACCTTAAATTGGGCCCGGTAGCAAATCGGCAGCCAATGGAGCTGGGACAGCAGGGGCGTTGTATGCTCCCTGCGCCCTGCTCCTGTTAGCAACATGGCTGCCGCGCGCTGGACTAGCTGAAG